CCTATTACAGCTCCAAGCCATATGTAAGAAATCCCCCTCTCACATTTATGACAAGTTAGAGTTGGTTTCTTATGCATGTGAAACAAACGCATTGGTGTGTAATAGACTCTATGCAAACAACATAGTTACATAGTAAAGGAGGGAATACACGATTAGAAAAATGACCGATCGCTTATCCGACGGCCAAGAGGCGTTCGTTTGTTGGTCGAAGTTATGGCCCACATTAACCATTAAAAACATTAAAATATTGTTTGTCGGGCAATCCGTAGTGTTGACGTCTTCCATACAAGTGGAAGTGATGCGGTGTGCGTGTGACCTTGTAGCCACGCCCCTCTGGCCAGATCGATCAATATACACCACAATTACCATCAATGAGTATAATATAGTTTATTACATTACCTATATACATAAATAGTGATACATAAAAATAGAATATGCATAATTCTGGGTTCATTATCTCATCAGGCCAATCTACTTTTAACATTTGGATTTTTCATTCGTGTTTATGAAGATTCCGTGGACATAAACATCCGTGTCATCTTCTGTTTCCGCTGATGCGTGATAGTGCTTGATAGATATTTTCGTACGAGCGTCATACCAACGCATAGACAATTGGTCGTTCATATGCAAAACAACATTTTTCACTGTTGTTCAGCTGGATTTTTTCATTCACAATATCGTTATCAGTTAAAACATCCTGCTCATCAACGAAGAGAAAATCATTCGATCAGTGGTTCCGCAAAATTTTTCGTACGATTTTCTTATTGTGTGTATGGGGCATTAGTCTGGCTGAAAAAAGACAAAAGTCCATCCAGTTCAACCATTAAAAAAAAAAAAAAGTTATAATCCTACACCCACAGTTGATCCAGAGGAAGGCAAAAACCCCCCAGCAAAGCATGATCCAGTTTGCTCCTGCAGGGAAAAAAATTCCCTCCTGATCCCCCTGAGAGGCAATAGGATAATTCCCTGGATCAACTTTACCTATAAATGTTAGTATCCAGTTATATTCTGTGTATCCAAGAAAGAATCCAGGCCTTTTTAAAGCAATCCACTGAGCTGGCCAGAACCAACTCTTGAGGGAGTCTATTCCACATTTTCACAGCTCTCACTGTGAAGAAACCTTTCCGTGTTTGCAGATTAATTTTCTTTTCCTCCAGACATAAAGAGTGCCCCCTTGTCCTCTGTGATGACCTCAGAGTGAAAATGAAGGGCTCTACAATGAGTTCACTATATGAACCACTCATGTATAAGTAGCTGGATAAGCCTGTCTTTAAATAATTCCTTCCAATTTTCTACTGAAAGATGTGGAATATTCCCAACCATCTATTTTGCATGTTAAATAATGACCTCGACTAATGATCCATATGAAGGGCATAATAAGATGAGAAGAGGCGTGTGTGATCAGGCCAGGTATTACTAAGGCAAATTGGGCTCCCACTGTGTGACAGAGCTGTGTATAATAGAATGACCACTGTAATGGAATATTCAGCTCAAGTTGAAGTTGCTCAAAAGACTTGACTGTTCCACCCTCATATAATTGGTGTATATACAGTGGGGCAAAAAAGAATTTAGTCAGCCACCAGTTCTGCCACTTAAAAAGATGAGAGAGGCCTGTAATTGGCATCATAGGTAGACCTCAAATATGAGAGACAAAATGAGAAAACAAATCCAGACAATCACATTGGCTGATTTGGAAAGAATTTATTTGCAAATTGAGGTGGAAAATAAGTATTTGGTCACCTACAAACAAGGAAGATTTCTGGCTCTCACAGACCTGTACCTTCTTCTTTAAGAGGCTCCTCTGTCCTGCACTCAATACCTGTATCAATGGCACCTGTTTGAACTTGTTATCAGTATAAAAGACACCTGTCCACAACCTCAAACAGTCACACTCCAAACTCCACTATGGTGAAGACCAAAAAGCTGTCGAAGGATACCAGAAACAAAATTGTAGACCTGCACAAGGCTGGCAAGACTGAATCTGCAATAGGCAAGCAGCTTGGTGTGAAAAAATCAACTGTGGGAGCAATAATTAGAAAATGGAAGACATACAAGACCACTGAAAATCTCCCTCGATCTTGGGCACCACGCAAGATCTCACCCCATGGGCTCAAAATGATCACAAGAACGGTGAGCAAAAATCCCAGGACCACACGGGGGGACCTAGTGAATGACCTGCAGAGAGCCGGGACCAACGTAACAAAGGCTACCATCAGTAACACACGATGCCGCCAGGGACTCAGATCCTGCAGTGCCAGACGTGTCCCCCTGCTTAAGCCAGTACATATCCAGGCCCTTCTGAAGTTTGCTAGAAAGCATTTGGATGATCCAGAAGAGGATTGGGAGAATGTCATATGGTCAGATGAAACCAAAATAGAACTGTTTGGAGGAGAGAGAATGCTGAGTTGCATCCAAAGAACACCATACCTACTGTGAAGCATGGGAGTGGCAACATCATGCTTTGGGGCTGTTTCTCCGCAAAGGGACCAGGACGACTGATCCATGTACAGGACAGAATGAATGGGGCCATGTATCTTGAGATTTTGAGTGCAAACCTCCTTCCATCAGCAAGGGCATTGAAGATGAAACGTGGCTGGGTCTTCTAACATGACAATGATCCCAAACATACAGCCCGGGCAACGAAGGAGTGGCTTCATAAGAAGCATTTCAAGGTCCTGGAGTGGCCTAGCCAGTCTCCAGATCTCAGCCCCATAGAAAACATTTGGAGGGAGTTGAAAGTCCGTGTTGCCCAGCGACAGCCCCAAAACATCACTGCTCTAGAGGAGATCTGCATGGAGGAATGGGCCAACATACCAGCAACAGTGTGTGCCAACCTTGTGAAGACTTACAGGAAACGTTTGACCTCTGTCATTGCCAACAAAGGATATATAACAAAGTATTGAGATGAACTTTTGATATTGACCAAATACTTATTTTACACCATAATTTGCAAATACATTTTTTCCAAATCAGCAATGTGATTGGCTGGATTTTTTTCCTCATTTTGTCTCTCATAGTTGAGGTCTACCTATGATGCCAATTACAGGCTTTTCTCATCTTTTTAGTGGGAGAACTTGCACAATTGGTGGCTGACTAAATACTTTTTTGCCCCACTGTATATCGTAATCCCCATCTTGCCCACTGCAGACCACATGGACGTGAGAGGAAATGAGGAAATCTTTACATATACTTTAAAGTAGTTGTAAACCTCAGACAAGAAATATGAAGAAAGCATATCCCTCCATAGTGCATGCTTGTCTCAATCTAGAGTACTAATTGTCATTTCTGTCTGCTTCCTAGTTCATCTGCTATAAGCAGGAGTTACTTCTGACGAGTTTTCCTGGCACCAGCAGAAAAATGGTGACGAGAGGGCACAGCCTGTGATTGACAGCCTCAGCTCTGTTCCTGGGTGCTGTGTGAAGGGGGTGTGTCCCTTTCCTCCAATCCGCTCTCAGAGCTCTCCTCAAAGTTGTTACTTTAGCTTCCCACCCTCCTCCTTTTCAGGGCTGATAGATCCTGTGAAATTCTACACTTTGAATAGATGTAGGGGACAGATGACTGTAGATGAACAGGTACAATGTACTGTATATAGGAGGATTAGTTTCATCTCTGTGTATCACCTGAGGCCAGTCACTTCATTGGGTATATGTAAGGGTTTACAACTACTTTAAGTCCAAAACGATTTGAGAAATTTGGTCACATAGCTAAAATAAAGATACATATTCTGGTGTTAAAGTGATTGTCTCTTCTGGAAATCTAAGCAGCGTAAGCTTGGTGTCGTTCTATTTGGATTGTGACACATCAAGAGGGAAATAACGGGGAGCCTAAAGGCCACTCTGCTTTGCAAGTGAGCTGCAAACTGACACTCTCTTCTTGTGAAATGACAATCAACCTAACTATAGAAGACAGTCAGCCTAACTATATATCCACCTTATTCTGATGGATATTTAGTTGATAAGTCCTCCCTTTTTTCACTTGGGACCCCAAAAGTGTTTCCTTTTTTTTGTGCCCCAAGTTTGCTTGGTAATGTTCTGGTTCCCAAATCTGTCAACCTAGGTGCAATAACAAAAATGTTAGCCTTCTGTTTTTGGGGTTCCAACTCACAAAGTGCACACAGTGAAGTTAAATTTGCTGTATGACTTCAAAGGATAGATTATTATGACTTCAAAGGATAGATTATTATGACTTCAAAGGATAGATGGGGTTTAGTGTAATAACACAAATTGAAGTTTTGTATTTATTCTACTTTGACATCAGTTTGCAACAAAGCCCTACCAGCAACAAAGCCAAAACTGCCGTTTCATTTGTAGGACAGGATGACCTGACGAAATTCAGCGCAGAATGTTCTGTATCAGTAACACTAGAACAATGTTTCCTGTTTCTACCATTCTAAATGTAGTACAAATAAAAGATAATCTGTAACCTTATCTGTAGTATGTCCACGTTCAGAACTGTGTTCGGGGAGATACTTAAGCTGGCCATACATGTGTAGAATTTGTTTAAAAAAAAAAAAATGTAATTTTGAAATGTTTGATTTTCTAATAGTTAATGGGGTTGAATCCATGATCGATTTTGACTGTACTGAGGATAAAAATTGAAGGAGCAGCAAGAAAAAAATGTTCTCAAACTAATGAAATTTGAGCAGTTTATGGGGTTTTTGTGCAGGAAATTTTATTCATTCCAAAATCAAATGCTAAAAGCAAATAAAAATCCAAAGTACTTTCTAATGACATTTACTAGTTTCTGACAGTATTATTGAATGTACTGATGAAATGTTTTGCACGGATGTTTGTATGAAAATCTACCAGTGTATGGCCAGCTAAAGGCAATTCTGTATATGTACTCAAGCAAGTGAACTTTGTTAATGCTATAAGTTTGTGTAGAAACAGAGCTTAAACATTTACCGGGCAATTTACTGTTCTGAGATAAATAAACATACAAATTTTCATGTGAGAGAAGACAAAAATACAAAAATAAAAACTAAAGCCTATAGCAACCAGTCAAGTATTAATTGTTTTTTCTAACGTGCTAGATTGATAACCGATGGAATCTGATAATAAAAAACTCACCGGCCTGAGGACTCTCTGCACCTCCTTCAGTACTGCTGGTGTGTTTGGCAGAGAACAAGCCAACAGGGTACATACAACCACATCCATTGAGGTATCAGCCACTGGCGTCATGTTGTCCGCTGATGCAACCAGAAATCCTTCATATTTTAGGTGGTCGTTCTCTGCTTGGCTTTTGCTGAGAAATTTTTGGAAGTTTGGGTTGATATCCAGGCAGGTCACCCTGCATCCACTGGGGTAGAATTTAAAGTTGGCACCTGTGCCACAACCAACCTCTAGAAGCCTGAGCTCTTTAGAGGAGCCTGCAAAGTCAGATAGGTTGCTAAATAGATTCCTCTTCTGTTCCTCCATCAACTTGTTGTATGATACTGTGAATTTGGATATAAACAAGGGAAATATTTTCTTTACTATTGAACCCCAGATTCCAAGGTATTGAAGAATATAGAGAGGCAGCATGATACCAGCCAATATGAGCTGTAAAATAAAAATGATTGCAGACATGTTTGAGGAGCTCAGATGCTGCAGCAGGCAGTGTATAGACAGATCTCAGGCCCGAGCTTCAGCTCTGTAATCTAGGTATGTGGAAATAGATCCTCCCCTCCGAGTTACAGAAAGGGAGGAGTGGAGTGATTTACAATGCTGACACTGTAGAAACCTTTATTCAGAAGACACATAAATGTAACATTTGACAGGGTTTGTAGAAGTCAGTTTTTACCATGCTATGGGTCAGTTTAAAGTGGAACTTTTACTGCATTTTAGCACCACAAACCAAAAACAATATTTAATTCCTTTTTCATATTCAAAACAAACTCCCCCATCCATCCATCCATGTCTTCAAGCTTTACTTTGCTGGGATATCATTTGAAAAACACCCCCTAGTATTTCTCATCTTGTCATCTTGAATAAGGGCAGATAATTCATGTATCATTTACTTCCTGGCATCCATCTGTTCTTAGATTAGGCATGCAAGCTGGAGGGTATTTTAGCTGTGAAAATTGCTCCTTGCCTCCTGAAGACTCCTGGGATGTATGACATCATTTGCCTAGGCCTGAAAACCAGGAAGTAACTAATGAAATGTAAAAAAAAAAAAAGTTTAAAACAAGTAAATATGATTACTTTTATCTATTTACTAATTCTAGCAGCATAAGGATTAAAAATAGTCAATGTTGACTGAGAAGGTGAAATTCCGCTTTAGCTTTCAGTAAGAATGTAACACTTGGAGATACATTGCATGGCAAGGCTAAAAAGATATCCAAAAAAAGGTTTCCAAGCCACTTTCAAAGGGCCTGATCTATTAAAGCTGAACTCCAAAAAAACTTGAAAATCTCCCCTTACAGTGGGGCTGCACCTTTAGGTCTAGGGGGGTATAGAAAATATTTACTTACTTGATCCTCCACTCCACCACAGTGTCTTTTCCCCTATGCCCCAGAGATCTTAGGTCCTGACATCATAAAGAAGATCACTGCAGTGTCCATAGACCTGCACGGAACGTGATGAAATGAAGGGATAGTCCACCACCAGAGCATGCTTTTTATCTCTTCTTTGAGCCTGCGGTGCACAAAAAACAAACAAAGTGTGCTAAGATTGAACCAAAAAAGTGCATGTGAACACACACAAAAAATAATGCACAATGTGCGTCAAATGGTCCCCTCCAGAAGCGGAAAGAATCCTCCCTGATTCTCCTGGGTGCAAGACTCCTGATGGAGGTAAGGTTTAAAACAAGTAAATATGATTACTTTTATCTATTTACTAATTCACACTAAGATCTCTAGACAAAAGGCCAAGCAGGCCCTGCCCCTCATGATCAGCTAAAGCTGACCAATGAATACTGGGTGGGTGGCTTTACCGAAGAGAGACCCCCCCCACAAGGTATGATGGCCACACATCCTCCTCCTAGACTTCAGAGTAGGCCTGAAGACCCACACCCTACTAGACAATTGCTAGGTCTTGTGGCCTGGTAACAATAAGCGCCCCAGTCTCAGTCAAAAGGCCCAGCCCATGAGGCATTGTGCAAAAAGGCTTAGTGTCTTGGCTAAGTGCCCTTTCTTACCCAAGTAATACTCGAAGCACCCCAGGGATGCCACTCTCAAGGGGTGCTTAACATCAGGGGCTCTCTGCCTTCTCAGCCACTTGTAGACCAGGGAGCACTGCACAAATCAGGAAGCACTGGATCCCTCTGAATCCTCCACTAGGGAATTTGTCTCAGCTTCCACTACCGGGAACTGCTTCAGTTTTTATTTATATATCTCGGGACCACCATCATACCAGCAGGGATACTATATTGACAGCCATTGCAGCTGCAAAACCAGAATGTCAGCAGAGCACCTTTACTGGGCACTGATAAGAAGAGATACTACAATTGATCTTAGCTAAAAGGCTGAGAAGGGGTGCCGTCTCCTGGGTAGTAGAGGATCTGGAAAGTAAAACTGCTTTTACTCTCCCCTACTGCAAAGGAGATTCTTTAGATTCTCTGAAGGTGATCTTTAACCACTTCCGCTCTACCCCTATAGTAGAAATACTGCTACAGGGCGGCACAGGTGCACAAAATCACGTATATATATAAGTGATTCGTGCTCCTGCAGTTGTCGTGGGCCGAGGGCCAACCCGCGGGTGCCGTGATTTGATCCCCAAGGGATCAATCATCTTATTTAGGCCACTGATCGTCAGCCTGAATCGGATGATCGATCCCTGTTCTATCAGGGATCTTCCGGTACCTGTGTTTACACTTACACAGGCACATTCCGTCCCAGAGAGAGAAGAAAGACACAGTGATTAAAAGCACTACACTTTGACAGTTAGAACACATTTTATGACACATTTGCCCTGTCACCAGTGTCATTAGTACAGTGTACAGATTTTTGCTGATCACTGTATTACTGTCACCGGCGAGTTCACATAGCGTTAGCATCTGTTAGCATCAGTTAGTGCCCCTCCCAGATAGCGTCAGATTGCTGGTCAGTACACCAGTAACCACATTTAACCCCTTGATTGCCAGGAACACGCTCACATTCACAATAAACCTCTATTGCTAGTATAGTGTTTGAACGGATCAATATCTTTGATCAGATCAGCACTATACCAGCGTTCACATTAGTATAGTGTCCCCAAAAACGCAGCATTAGCGGGATCAGCCCCAGAACCTGCCAGCACCTGCGTTTTAGCCCGTATGCTTACCCCCCTTTCCCCCTCTCTCCCAGGTTCCTGACTACCTAACATCTTTCGAGACCCTGTGTAAGTATGTGCCCTGAACTGTGCTGTGATGTACCCTATACTAATACTCCACGAGTGTGTGGTATTGATTGAAGTCCTTGAGGCAGAGACCAGGTTGGCCAGGATGGGAGGGACAAAAAAAGCGGGTGTCATGCCTAATTCCATGTCTTCTACAGACACAACATCAACATTATAGACCTGTTAGTTTAGCTTCTATAGTTGGGAAGATACTGGAGAGTTTAATAAAAGACCACATAGATGAGGTCTTGCTGGAAAAAAATATTTTACGCAACAGACAGCATGGATTCATGAAAGACAGAAGTTGTCAAACAAATCTGATTTCTTTTTATGAGGAGTTGAGCAAAACCTTGGACAGAGGGGTGGCGGTGGACGTGGTATACTTGGATTTTGCAAAAGCGTTTGACACAGTTCCCCACACATGGCTAATGTGTAAGGTATAGCCTACAGGCTTGGAAAAATCTGTATGTAAATGGATAGAAAACTGGCTAAAAGATCGTATTCAAAGTAGTAGTGGTTAATGATTCATACTCTGAATGGTCTAGGGCAGCCTTTCTCAACCAGGGTGCCTTGAGGTTTCTTCAGGGGTGCCTTGGCAAAATGTCTAAAAATTGTGCAAAATACAAGCCAATGGGTGGATCAAGCCTGCCTCTAGTTACACAAAGCCACAGGTTTCCATTGTGCATTATTACAACCTTCTAGCCACCTGCGTCCTGACAACCAATGACATCAGTTGATAAGGAGGATGTCAGCTGCCTGCACAGCATCCTAGTTTGACTCTCCCCCACCCCTCTCCATCAGTGCTGGGGGTCACATTAGCTCAGTGATGGAGAAAAACTGAGGGAGAAGAGAAACATTGGAATACTAGTCAGTACCAGTGTGCAAAAGTGTATTTGCTTTGGAAGAATAAATCACCTCTAATGTTTGGTGCGCTACATGTGTGGACGTTGCTGCATTATATAAAATTATTAGAATAGTTTTTCACATTGTAGAATGGGGTGCTTCAAGACTGTCTATAATTCTAAAGGGTGCCTTGGGACTGTCCAAAATTTTAAAGGGTGCCTTGACCGAAAAAAAGGTTGAGAAACACTGGTCTACGGTTGTCAGTGGTGTACCCCAAGGTTCAGTGTTGGGACCCTTACTTTTTAATACATTTATAAAGGATTTAGGGTCTGGGATTAAAAATACCATTTTAGTCTTTGCAGATGACACCAAGCTGTGCAGTAAAATAACCTCCTTATAGGATGTCTTCATTTTACAAGCTGACCTCAATGGACTGTTTAATTGGGCAACTATGTGGCAAATGAGGTTTAATATTGATAAATGTAAGGTTATGCACACATCATACATACTAGGGGGAGTAAACTGGGGGAATCAATGGTGGAGAAGGACCTGGGAGTTCTGGTAGATCACAAGCTTAATAAGGGCATGCAATGCCAAGCTGCAGTTTTGTAAAGCGAGCAAAATCTTCTCTTGTATTAAAAGATGTATAGACTCCAGAGAGAGAGATATAATTTTACCCCTACACAAATCAATAAGACCTCAGCTGGAATATGCAGTTTAATTTTGGGCACCAATTCACAAAAAGAACATTGGGGAACTTGAGAATGTACAGAAAAAGACAACCAAACTGATAAGAGGCATGGAGGAGATCAGCTATGAGGAAAGATTAGAGGAACTGAATTTATTCTCTCTTGAGAAGAGGAGATTAAGGGGGATTATGATCAACATGTATATACATCACTGGTTCATATAGTGAATTCTGTATGAGCTATTCACCCTGAGGTCATCACAGAGGACAAGGGGGCACTCTATGTCTGGAGGAAATGAGATTTAATCTCCAAATACAAAAAGGTTTCTTCACAGTGAGAGCTGTGAAAAAGTGGAATAGACTCCCTCAAGAGTTGGTTCTGGCCAGCTCAGTGGATTGCTTTAAAAAAGGCCTGGATTCCTTCTTAGATACACAGACTATAACTGGATACTAACATTTATAGGTAAAGTTGATCCATGGAATATCCGATCGGGGGATCGGGAAATAATTTTTTTCCCTGCAGGAGCAAACTGGATGATGCTTTACTGTTTTTTTTTTTACTTCCTCTGGATCAACTGTGGGTATAGGATTATAACTTATTTATTTTTTTTTTTTTAATGGTTGAACTGGATGGACTTTTGTACTTTTTCAGCCAGACTAACTATGTAACTATGCAACTGTGGTGGCAAAGGAAGACCAGGTCATGTATACCCAAAGTAATTCATTATAGAGTTTTTGGGTG